GTTTTGAAGAAAGCAGATTCTTTTGTCAGTGAAGTTCGTTCATGCACAGCATAGTGACCAAGAATATACTAATTCTGTCTCATTCCAAGTACCCTCCAACCCGACGTTGCTCCAAATGCCCTCGTGATTTGCTGAAACCAACCAATGATTTCAACCTGTTTTGTTACTTTTCTTGGAAATCTTGAAAGAAAATGAATGGTTTTAGAAAAATCTAAGATATAGTTGAAAATCTTTACATGGTTTGATGAAAACTGTGTGCTCCTCCAGTTCACCTCAGAGTAAAAAGAGTAAGCTTCAGCTTCAGTCAATTGGATTTCCGAGGAAAATTTGATATTTTTTGGACTGATGAACACTTAAAAAAAGGTTGATATTTTTTGAAGACAACTTCGATAAGTTCGCAAGACTTTGAAGTTGACTAGACCAAAATATCCGGAAAAAACAAAAATTTTCCCTGGCTTTTAGCAATCAAAAATTCAATAGAACCAAAAAAATTTCCCCGTCACAATTGTTGTCTGTCATAAATCAAATTTATCAGAAATTGAAAATTTTTTGTTGTTCGATATCAGAGTAGTTACTGAATGCACCAAAAAATCTGTATGGCAGAAATTTAAGGCCAACTTTTTTTAATTGAATATTTAATTGAGCATCTTAAATGAAAATCAGAAAAAAAACTAGCAATTAACCCAATGTTTTGATTGAAAAACGTATCACCACCCCTTGTATTATTGCATTTAAAATTCATTAACTTAATTTTTTGTTATTTTTAGTGGTCCATCAGTGAATATTTACAGAGTGTTTTGCGAGTGTTATCATCTGGTATTATATACTGTACAATTCAATTAGTTTAAGAGGTCAGGCATGACCTTCAGCATTAACCAATCCGTTGGAGTGCTTAGTTGTCACTTTTCAACTGATGTTTTAACAATGAACTAATTCAGTTGTTTTAACAATTTATTTCTTTATCCTTGTAATTATTATTGTATAGTTAATGCCAAATTGTTTCCAATACCTTTTCAGTCAACGAATCTGAACGAAATTAATTAAGCTGAAACTACTCATATTGATGTCGGATTTCTGTGTACGCGTAAAAACTGTGTACAAAAAACTAATTAGCCTAAAAAGCTATAGTTTTTGTCTAAATAAACTGCTCAAAGTCACCGATATTGCTAGCAATTTTTCATTAACTACAGTTACATTATTGTATCTTTTTATCTGCGAGAATACATCGCTTTAAAATAGTGCTCCCAACCGTAGAACTTTGTGCCTTCCCACTCATCTGTCATGTCAGATGACACTTGGTCCAGGGGGGTGGGGTAGAACTCAGGGGGGATGGACACTGCTGGCTTGTAGTAGTCACTTGTCATGTCCTGCGCATCCCAGAACTCCTAGTTACACAAAAACAAATATAAATTAGGCAATCAGAAGAAAATGGAGAGAAGAATATTAAATTTATGCACCAGTTTTCTTCCGCTAGCAAGTAAACATAAGTTTTACGGTTGATTGACCAAAACCGCGTCCTTAAACAATACCAGAGAGAAAAATAAACCATCCCCCATCCTCCCCCCTTCATCACCAACAAGATACCCCAGCTGAGTGAGACCCTCCATTCCAGCGTAAATTTTGGATTAAAATTCCTACGGGTTCTTTTCCACCCCCCCCCCCCCCCCCCGCCTTTCAAAATATAGATTTTTATGTTTGTTTTACGTGTTATTACGGCTAAATGCGTAATTTTAGGATGTGAAGTATGAAGAACAGATCTGTTCACAGTTGTCAGTTTGTTCACCATTCCAAATTTCGTTGCATTTTGACAACGTATTACATAATCTTTTCAAAATTGAATTTGAAAGGGGGGACTGGAAAAGAGCCTTCCTAGGCGTCGCGTGTTAACACACCCTATCCCCTAAACAGATTCGGAGTGATGGAGGAAGGATGTTAACTTTTGGTCTGAGTTTTGATCTGAATCAGTGAACACTTTTTAAAAAGAACCAGAGATATTTATCTGTACCCTTGTCTGTACAGTGAGCCAGGTGAGTCCCCCATCGTCACTGGCCAAGTAGGTGCTCTGGCTCTGACTCACTGCGAACACCGTCTGCTGCGAGATCCAGTAGCCAATTACACTGTGCACACGATGGTTAACCTCTAAATATCAAACATAGAACCTTCTAGAACATTTTAAGATAAATAGAAACACACATTTAACATTCAAGAACATTCTAATATAATTCTAGCTTCTTATCAATTTAGAAAAATGATTAATAATTTTTTGTAGAGAAAAAAAAGGAGTTGTTCAAATTTCTTCTCAAATTGATTGAAAACAATAGTTAAACAAAACTTAGGAAAAAACAAAAACAGCAATTTAAAAGGAAACAAAGAGGCCACGGAAAGAAATTGCCAGCTCTAAAAACGATCAGTTTCCAAGTTGCTCAAGTTTTACTTTATTGTTCCGACTTTCGATACGAAAGTAACGGAATATTTGTGCTCGGGGTGGGTTTTTTTTTCTTCAGACAAATTTCGACTTTTTAACTAACCATTTTTGACGGAATTTTTTTATATCATTCAAAAGGTATTGTTGTCCTGAGCTTAAATTTGAAAAGATATTTCACCTGTGATCATTTTTCGTAAAGTTGTGAGGGTTTAAAGATTGCCATTTTGACCAATTTGGGACAATTGACGCGCGATATAATTCGCGCAATTAACGCGTAAGCGGATATTTAATCCGCCTTATAAATCGTTCCAAATTGGTTGAACGAAGCTTAATTGCCATAATTGATTTGTTACAAGGAACGAAATCTATTTTTGTACTTTATATGGCGTGTGGGGGGATGATTTTTACAAAAAGTTTCAAATTTTAGACAATATATTTTCATTTCATTTTATTTCTTTTAATTTTTTATGTTATTACTGCTGCTCCATAAATTTTAAAAGGCAGTTGAAACATTCAGGGCTTCGCCCTGATACGAGCAGTCTTGTTATAATTATTATTCTTTTTGTTGAAATACAGTCGTCGAATGAACGAAACATAGCCAAACGACAGTTGGAAAATATTCAATGAACGCAAGTAAACAAAAAATACGGACTGACCTTTTTAAAAAAAACTGAAACTTTAGAATTTCGAAGAGCTCTTTGAATTTCCAAAACAATCTATGATAGGCACTTTTTTTGATAAAAATAACCCAATATGAAAAAAAACTGGATCGATAGCTAAAATTTTATTTCGCTGGGAAATTCGATAAATGAATTTCATATTCTAAAACAGAATTCGATCCCTTTACCCTTTACGCTTTCGCTGTTCAATAGTGGAGTTAGTTTGTTTTCCTTTCAACAAATAAAATGAACTGAACTTTAAAAGAAATCAAAAGTCAAACTGCGAAAAAGAGCCTGAACAAGTTTTAGCACGTCCAATCTACGAGCATGGAGGGAGGTACATGCGCAGAAGAACGAAAATGGGTGATGGTAAAAAAGGGGCAGCAAAATTTAGAAACTAAAGAAATGTAGTTCATTTTAGTTAAACACATAAATTAAATTTCAAGCAAGCAACAGTTTATTTGTCAATTACAAAATGTTCTCAGAAAAATCGCACAAAAAAACACAAAAAAAGGTAACACTTTTTTTACAATTTTAAATTTCAGTTTAACTAATGCAAGGTGATTTTTTAGGAAAGCAAACGTAAATATTTGAATTTACTGAATTGTGTTCAAAATTTTCAGACTGATTATGTAAAAAAACTCAATTATACACCATTATGATCTAATAAGATGGATATTTTAAGATTTAAAAATACAATACGTTATATTACATTATAATCGAATGTTTTTGTAGTTTTCAAAAGTAATTAAAAATCACAAAATTTTATTGCAGGTACAATTTTGGGACCGTACAGAAGAAAAAATTTCAATTCTCAAATTCCAAAGAAAATATCGAAATGAATTTGTCGAAAATTTTGTAAGTTTGTCAATTTTGTAGGATTAGTTCATGATAAAAGACCTACTTGACATTCTCTCTCCCCCCCCCCATATTCTCTAGGGCTATATAGGGGGGAGAATTTAAGTAGAGAATATGGGGGGAGAATGTTAAGTAGGTCTTTTATCATGAACTAATCCTAATGCAACAAAAATAGAATGAGTGTTAATTCATTGTATTTATTTTTAGGACTATATAGGGGGGAGAATTTAAGAAAAATTAAATACAATGAATTAACACTCATTCTATTTTTGTTGCATTTTGATTGACGAAAATTCGACTAACTTAACCTACTTGAAAAGGGGCGGGGAATTGTAAAGTGGATCCACAATAAACATACAATTTGGTCGGGTATATTTACGTAAAAACCCTATTTTTAAGGTGTTTTTGGGTTGATATAAAATAACTATCAGGATGTTTGTTCAGGGCCAGATTTAGGGCTGAGGTTGGGGTGGGGTGGGGGCTTGGCGGACGCACTTTTTATTAGGGATTCGACCCCTGCAAAAAAGCGCACATTTGTAATCAAAAATGTACAAAAAATGCCTTAAAACGCCTTTTTCAGCTTGTTTTTTTTTCAAAAATTTGCCTGAAACAAGCAATATGGTCATAACAGGGTCTTTTTACTATTCTGGGAGAGCTCGGAAAATCAATTTTGGCGACTTAAAAAAATTCGACTAAGTTTTCGAAAGTTTTCATAAAGTCCAAAGTCCAAAGGTCGTACATATTTACTCTAACTTTGAAGGAATCAACATTTTAACCTCATACCAAAAATCATTGAGCTCGTGTTTTTTCTGATTATCTTTATGTTTTAATAAGGCCAACATTCTTTGTGTGTAGAATAAGCTCCTACAATTCAATTAAAAGAATAGTGCTGATTTGTAGCAGTTGGACACAAAGAATAAAATTAAAATCGAATTTGTAATGCTTTTTTTTCCTGAAATTGAGTTGACATTAGACAAAAAGTGGTCAGATTAGAAAAATGCCAAATTTTTTATGGTGCCCTTTATTTTGCGAAAAAGAGCTCGGGTTGGCCAAAACTTCTTAACATAGAATTTCCATATATGAAAAATTTATTGTCACTCAAGTTCATACAATTCCATACGTACAAAGAGTTGTATGAAATATCTATTTTTTCCATAAACAAAAAAATTGATTTTTCGTTTCGAAATTTAATTTCTGAAGAACTTTGGGTTGTGTTTGTAACCGAACGCAAGTGACAAAGACCTTGGTTCACTCAAAGCGCCAAAGGTTGGACTTGCCTTTACAATGCATAGAAAATAACCTGAATTGTCTTAGAGCTGTCTTTCGCAAATCATATAACGAAAACAAAAAACTTTTAAACTTTGGCAAAAATTTTCAACGATTTTTAAAAAATTTGAATTTTTAATTTATCAGACGTTAATCAAGGATAAACAAACACGCCACACAAAAGAATTAGGAATTTGTAGCATTTTTGAAAAAAATATTAAGCAAAAAGGAAAAAATCCAATAATAATGTATCCAGGACTACGTTATGCACACAAAAAGTTAAATTTTGCATGCAAAATTTTTTCGGAAAAGTTTTGCGTTTAAAATTCAATTTGCGCTTGAAAAAAACGTTTGGGGCTTTTTCACAATTACTTAGAAAAGTCTTTGGGTCACCATAAAAAAAGCTAGTCATACAGTTTCTATATATGGAAATTGTATGATAAGCATTTTAAAAAAAAACCTCGGTTTTTTCTCACCGGACTGTTTTATAAGAATTTTATTAGAACTTAAGAAAAATATTAAAACCTTTTGCACAAGAAATTGAAAATTTTAAAAAACTTTGCTGGGCTACACAAAAAAACTCAGTGATATAATTTGCGTAATAGTTTAAGCGTAATATTTTTGGTTGACTAAAACGAACAAAACAAGACAAATTTATTCGGGAAGTTTTGAGCCTGATTTTTGCAAAAACAAATGCACCATAAAAAGTCTGGCAGAAATCTAAACAATTTTTGTTCGAACCTTTTTTTGTCTATTGTCAACGCTATTTGTGGTCAAAAAAAATTTGGCAAATTTGCTCCTAGCTCATTTCTCAATCAACTCTACTCGGACGAAGAGAAAGTCACATTACGAATGAGAGGCCGAAAATTTGCAGACCGTTTTGGTGACGTATCGGTAGTAAAATAATTATTTTGTCTTCCCTTAAAATCATTATAACAAATACTAAAAAAAATACCAGAACTATCACAAAAACTAACTCGCTAAGAAGAATAAAATATTGGGTTGCAATAGTGGTACCACGTGAAAGTTCTAGACAAAAAAAATGTCCCTGCGTCGCAAAAAAAAGAGCTTGCTCAAGAAAAGAACGCAGTCTAGAATGTGGGAAGGTAAAACAAAAGAACTATCCTCCGACTGGCCTGTTAAAGCCGACTGATAGCTCCTCTGTGATTCACGGGAACAGAAAAAAAAGCACCAATCAAAAATGAAGATGATGTAGGGTGACTCACTTGACCAGGCGGTGGATCCATCTGCAAGTGTGACCATACGCATGCATTCATTCGCGTCACTGAAACAAACAGTTAAATGAGTTCAAAAGAGAGCAGTCGAGAGAGTCACATCACATTATCGGGTATAAAATATTATGGGTTAAATATTTCTTCGACCGCCCACAATTAGTGGGAGAAACTATAGACTAATCCGGAACCCTTCTTATGGGAGAAACCATAGCCTAATTCGGAACCCCTTCTCGTGATTAATGGTGCAGCAAAGACAGATCATTGATGACAACTTGCGTGTTTGCAGAAAATTCACAAATAAGCTCAATGCGCCGAGAAAAACGCAGAGATAGGTAGGAGCGGGCGCGGATCAAGGGTTTTCTTGACCGGAGAAGGGGCAAACTTTCAAATATATATGAAAACTTGGTCAACTCAAAACACTATAACGAGTCTTTTTTGTAGTTAAATTCATGCTCCGCAAGCTTATTATTGAAAAAACAGGCCTGCAGTGCCGTTTTTAAGCACTTTTTGCAGAAGGTTTTGACCAAAAATTACTTTATTTTTGGCGCGCTCCCATTTTTGAAATGAGTATATATTTGCACCGATGGCGCCTTTAAAAACATTTTAGGGTTTGCCGGCCGCAAATTGACGTGGTAAAGCCCAAATAGGGAAGTTTTAAGTGGCCAGGTAGCCAGTTTTCTAAATCCGCAACTGGGTCCAGGTAACGGAGTTTTTTTTCTCATGGAAGAGTTCATGTTCGTTCAAACCCTCTTTCTGCTGAGCTATCAAATTGTGGCCGTGTCAGTTGGAGCGACTATTTTAATCACTGGAGACGCTTACTCTTGCTTATTTTTATAGACCTAGAAGAAAATTGATTTGCAGTTACTATTTGTTACTAATTTTTCAAGCTGAAAATGATGCGCTCTGATGTAAAAAGTAAACAAAAATAATTTGACTAGTAGAGTAAATGCAACTCCTTAGCTAGATACTGAAAACAAAAAATGGTAAAAAGTTTGTTCATCTTGTTTGATTGTAATGGATTTCGCACTCGGCCACGAATTATGGAAATCCAGAGTGGTAGGCTCCCTCGTAAAATCACTGGTTACCACTAAAATCTTAAATTTAAGGTTTATGTAAGCTGAAACTTGATGAGGGGGGGGGGGGGTTGAGAGAGGGGGAGGGGGATGCGAGGAAAAAGAGGCAGAAATAAAAGCTTAGAACTTACATTTGTAGATTTTTCTCGCACACGAAGAGAACTTTGAGGGTGGTATCTATGAGGAAGCCCCTGTCGTACACGTGGGGAATGGAAGCCCCCACCCGACACACTCCTAAACGCATCCGACATTGGCAGTTATATAAGAGGTGGGAGGTGTCAAAAAGGAGAATTTACTGAGGGACAGGAAAAAGTTTTGAAGGGTGGGTCCAACGGCTTATGATTTCGACCACATTACAAAGTTGGGTCAACCCCCCTCCACATCCCCTCTGGGTCCAACGCAAGACCACATTACAAAGATCTGATTTATTTTCAATATTTTATTTGTTGCTTCCAAATCTATTAAAATTTTTATCATTTGAAGATAAATCCAATTAACCTTACCCCTATGTTCAAATCTGTAAGCAGGAAAAAACAACTTGAACATAAACAGTTTTTCTTACAATTGCAGCTCTGCTAGTTTCAAAACCCCTAATTTCAAATCCCTTAAAGCCAACCCAGGTCGAGGTCCGCGACTTAGGAGAAACTTTTTAAGTTGCGCCGCATACAGTTTTTGACTGAATTGCGTAATGACGCCGCGGGTTGAAGTCGTGCCATACAGTTTTTTAGGTAGCGCCGCCAGTCTTTTTTTCAGTCGCGCCTTTCATCTTTTCTTAAAGCGCACCACCATTCTTTCCTTCTATAGCGCCGCCTGTCTTTTCTTGAGCCGTGCCGTCAGCCTTTTCTTAGGTCGCGCCTCCAGTTTATAGTTAAAGCGCGAAGCCAGTGTTTTCTGTAATTGCGCTGGCAGTCTTTTTTAAGTCGTGCCGCGAGTTTGACATGCCGCCAAAACTTTGTTAAGTAGCACCAAAGTTGTATAAACGTTGCTACCTCAAACTCCTGTCTAAATCGAGAAAATTGAGATAGCGAGGTGCTCACTTTATGTTTTGACTTTTAAAGTCGAGAACATGTCAGTGCTCAGCCAAAAAAGAATAGTCGAGACAGGTGTTTCACTCGAGCACAAATTCGAAACATACCTCGAGCACGGTCGAGCACGTTCGAACCATACTTTGAGCAAGGTCGAGCACGGCCAAAACATAACTCGAGCACGGTTAAGCGCAGTCGAGCATGGTCGAAAAATACCAATTTTTTTGCGGTAATGCGAAGTCAAAAAGAAAATTGTTGTTCAAATACCAATTTTTTTGACATTTCCGGCTCAAATTGCAAACCAGTACTCCAGAAATTAGATAAAAAATAGCTCAAAAATAGTTAATCTCTACAAAGCAACTAAACTACCAATAGCTCTAATCGTTTCATTCTGATAAGAAAAAACATCACAAGATGTTATCCGAAAAGCATAAATTGTCACGTTCAAATTCGACTAACTTATGTTGTTCGAAAGTCGAAACATAAACGAACTCAGTCGAAACACATTGTGCTTGGATCGAACACGTCGAGCACAATTTTTTGGTTTAGCGCAGTCGAAACATATCTTGCTTTGATCTAGCACATTTGAGCATATTCTCGGTCGAGAACGGTCGAAACATACCAATTTTTGGTCAAGACTGTTGAGACATACCGACTTTTGGTGGCGACGGTTGAAACAAACCGATTTTAGATTGAGACGGTCAAACCATAAACCCGGGAAAGATCTGGAAAAAATCTAAGCAAAAATAACAGGCAGATAACATTGATTGATATGCCATGTAAGATAAATTAGGACACAGACAGAACAAAAACTAAACGCATGCTATAAGTAAATGTTATTGATATTCAGCCATGTATTTTTTTTAGTCACGAGTTAAATTTTGTGTGGCCTATTTTTGAAATGCATAAGTTTTAAAGAAAGAATGATAATTATTAAATGGCTCGAAATCTAAGTCGCTCAACTAGTGCTTTCATGAGTCGCATTGCCAGTCTATTCTTAGGTTTCGCCTTCAACATTTTTTTTTCTAATCGCGATGAAATCGTTTTGTTATGTCGTGCCACCAGGTTTTCTCTAAAATCGCGCCGGTAGTCTTTTTTGCTTTTTTGTAAACTGGCAGCGCGACCAAAGAAAAATTTTTAATAACACAACTTAAGAAAAACTCTGACATATGAAAAAACTATCCCCGCGACTCATACTTTTTTCCGTTTTTTTTTCCTTCACGGTTGTTGTTTCCGTCACGGTTGTTTGTTTCAGTCGCACGGGTATCGTATTGGCAATTTTCAGACGCACTGATTGCGCCGTTTTATGATTTCATGCCGGTCCCGTCAATTTTTTTAGTTCCAATTTCAGTAATCAACCATGTATTTTTACCATGTCACCATGTCACACGTAGCATAACTTCGAAATGCATAAATTAAAAAGAATGAGTAATGAATTTTTTCGGCTCGAAGTTTTTTTTTATCAAACGCGCGTTTTTTTTTTCTGTCGTGAAGTCAGTCGTTTTGAAATCGCGCCGTCCATATATTTTTTTCAAGTCACGCCCTCACTCTTTTTAAGTCACGCCCCCAGTCTTTTTTAATTCCGGCCGCTAGTATTTTTTGTTTAGCTCGCGCCGCCTTTTCTCAAAACTGGGTGCGCGATTTGAACAAAAAATTTTGACCGCGCAACTGTATGCACTTGAAAACAGACCTTGGTGGCGCGACTAAAGAACAAACTGGCGTCGCAATTCAAAAAATTTTTTTTTGTTTCCATCGGGGCTGCTTTTTTTCAGACGCGTTGATCCCAAATTGGGAGTTCCTTTTTCTTGTCGCGCCGATATCTAGTTCGGAGAAACGTTGGGCGTTTTTTTTCACTTGTTTGACCACTAGAGCCTTCCATATTGAAGTCATACCATCAATGGATTCAAGCTCCTGTGTCATGGGAGTAGAACGATTCATCGCTAGACGAGGAACTCCATCGAAAATTTGGTCCGATAATGGTACAAACTTAGTCGGTGCAGAGAAAGAGCTTCTTCTGTGTACTCGAGCATGGAATGATCTTGCGCCCGCTCTCCTTGTCCACAAAGGCATCGAATGGAAGTATAACCCACCATCTTCACCACATCATGGTGGCTCTTGGGAATGTCTTGTACGTAGTTGCAAGAGAGTTTTCTACTCCATCCTCACACCCCGTAAATTAACCGACGAGGTACTCCAGACCACATTTTGTCTGGTGGAACAGTCCCTCAATGCGCGTCCACTTACAGCGGTAAGCAGTGACCCGAATGAGATTGAGGCTTTACCGCAAAATCACTTCTTGATAGGCCAGCGCTCAGTTAGTTTCCCGTCGATTGCGACGGACGAACATTTCGATCATCGAGAGCGTTATCTTCGCGCACAAGGATACGCTAACGCCATCTGGACTAGATGGCTACGCGAGTACGTTCCGACTCTCAACAAACGCCGTAAATGGCACACACCTACCGAACAAGAACTCAATGCCGGAGATCTTGTTTGGATCGTCGAGGATAGTAGCCCCCGTGGTTACTACCCTCTCGCTCGCGTCAAAACGCTTAACTATGGCAAAGACGCTACCGCCCGTTCCGCACTCCTTAAAACCGCAACAGGAGATTTAACCCGACCTCTTGTTAAACTCGCTACAGTTATCGCTCCGTTGGGGACCGAGGACGTTCAAGATTGAAACTAAAATGAAAGCATATCAAGAGCAGCTAGTCTAGCGGTAACGTACTTGACCTGAAACCGAAAGGTCGCCGGTTCGAATCCCGGTCATTCCAAGTATTTTACTACTAAAAAACTTGGTATACACTTGATTTGAACCGGATAAAAAATGTTCCTAAGTCAAACTTGTTTTTAAATGATGTGTACATGAACTTAATTAGACTTTGGCAAGAATTGACTTCTAACTTCTGGCAAGCGTAAAAATCCCCACTTATTGGCAAAAGTAGTGACAATTAAGTCGCTTTCGATTTCGATTTCGTTTAAAACTTGATAATTTTGTTCCGAAACAGATATTATTCCGTTGTTTTTTCTTAATGATTTTCGATAATTATTGAAGAAAAAATATATTTATATTGAACAATCGTGTTCTCAATCGAGATACATACAGCCAATCTACAGACCGACGATATACTCGACCGAGCCACCACAGACCGGACACAGGTGGAAACATGGTCCGCCGACAATCGACGACAAACCAGACGAAACCCTTGACGACTCAGTTTTTTGTGAGTGAGAAGTACCTCAGTGAAAGGTGATTGTGCAATTTCACGAACGTGTATGCAGACAGCTATCTGCAAGTGAGACAGGAATCTCCCCAACCGTTTTTGATGGCCGAAGTTGACAAAAAAAAACTATTGTAAGACGTAACTTTTCAGTTTAGTTTCTTCATAAACCAGAGCTATAATTGTTTTACGATCCTTTAAAGTTTTTTATTGTGACCTATCAAATCCATTCAGTGTGCTAAAATGTTGATTTCATTATGTTTACCGTGCTTTTGCCAATAGTCTAACCCGAATACCCCACCCAGAAAATTCCGAAATTAAAAAAAAAAATCGAAAATCGAAAAAATTTGACTTTAAGTTAGAATTTTGGTTTCATTTGCTAGTTTATAGTTAGTAGTCGATAACTCAAATCGGAACCCACCGTTCCGACCCGTTAGAAAAACATTTTGTGAAAATGTTTGAGAAAATTTTCGCAAAAAATTGAAAAATCCGAAATCGACCCCAAATCGTCTAATTTCGGTACTAAACTGGCGTAGACGATAAGAAAAAAAAAATTTTGTCATTTTTTGCGAAACAAACAGCCCGGCAAACGTAAGCACTGCAAAATTACGCAGTGTAGAGACCTTTTAGCACTATATCAAGTCAATCCCTTTGAATTTTTGCAACTCCGGTGGTTTCTGAGCAGGTGTGAGATTCTCAAAATCCGGTTGACTTGATTCCCCTCAGATTTTTTTATCGTACCGAATGCCGTCGTAAATGTATATATTAGCCGCTAGCTCGCTCTCTCGTGCTCATAAAACGCTACGTATAGCCGAGCTAAACCGTATATCGCAATACTGTTATGCCCTTGGTGGTTTAAGTCTCAACCACAAGTACCAATCAAAACGTGCCCAAAATTTTTTAGACGGCGAATTAGCCCATAGAAATGATATAATAATCTGGCACGACCTGATCAACAATTCAATCAGCAAGCACAATAGTAACAACG